TTTAATCCAGTGCAAACAAAGAGTCATATTTAAAGTAATTAAAACAGTTATTTAATCTGCCTAGACTACCCACGTAGAGTTCTAAATGAATCTGACAATCATACAGGGCATTGCGATGACTGTAAGGGTAAACTTATTCCACAACATGTTACTCACCAAATGCCTGTACTATAAAAGACACTTTGAGGCAAATGGTCTGATGAAATATTACAAACCAATCGACTTATCTAGTAAGACACACCAGATGTAGTGACTCTTTCATTTTTACACAGTTAATGAAGTTTAAAAAGCTTCCCACACACACATACATTACTCTAAGTACACAGATGTGTTACTGTAACTTTATTTCTGGTTATGTTACTGTTTAATACAGTTACTAGATGGTGCCACTGTTTCTTATCTTACTAAATTATAAGTTAGTTGTAAACCCATTTGTCATAAAAAAGAAACTTTTTTCTCTGTTTACAATAGTCAGGGTCCCAATTAAAATATACAATATAACTAAAAGTATCAAAATAACATCACAGGCCTTGTATCTGTGTTAATAATGTATAAAAGTGAAAACTGAATAAGATGGCAAGTAGTTAAAATGGAAATTAAATTTAGCTAATACATCGTAAAACATGACTGATCGTTGAGATTTTTATTTATTTCTATTTGATAAATGTTTCCTGTAAACAGGTACTCTGGTCAGGGATGTATCTCCGATGGGTTCTCAACCCCTCTCCTCAGATGGCAGCTTGGGAGACCATAGCAGAGATCAGGGAGAAAAATAAGGAGCTCAGGTCCAAGGCAATCAGACTCCGAAGGTATGATATTTGAGCTGTCTGCATTTTTACATTTGCCATTCTGGTGATAATAACATTATTATAAGAACTTAGTTTAAGTATGCAGAGTTGTCTTTTATTGTTCTAATGGTATAATTATTTTCAGTTATTGATTTTCAAAAGTCCACATTTGATCTTATTAGAATTAAAACCTGATCTGTATCATAAAAAAGAAGTGATAAAAACAAAATCATTATCATTCAAGTCAATATTAGTCACCAGATTATGAGAATCAGGTTTATGCCACATCTTACAAATTTTAAAATCATTTGATTTTCTTCACTTATTAGTGTAGAAAATGACATAGAAAACATATCGGAAAAGGTAAAACATACAGTTGAAGCAAATAATTGTTTTATTTGTTACGTCTTGGGCATGTACCCATCATTAACCTGATGAAGGGCATGTACCCATCATTAACCTGATGAAGGGCATGTACC